TGGCAGAAGAAACTATTGTCACTGCTCTTGGTGAGCTACTCCTGAAAAATTTCAACCCCAAAATTTTCAGCCTGAAATTCTAAAAAATGTATGACCATTTGGAAAAATCTATTTAGTTATCTTAGTTACAGCTTCTCTCCCTAAGATGATGAAAAACAAGCAAGAGAGTGTAAGAGATTGTAGAAACGAGATCTTTGAGTTTGCTACGAAGGAGGGTTAATTAGGTCTAGTGTAATGTCCTGCCACCAGTTCTGCTGATCTTGGGACCAGAGCCAGTGTCTCTGCGTGGTACTGCCCTGCACTGCCAACCTGTCACTATGCTGTGTGCTGTAGAAAAGACCTCAGGGAATCAAGAGACTTAGCCTGGAGGAAATGATATGTTGGCTGTACTGCATAGCAAATTAAATCTTTCATAGCTGCTTTATGGGGCTTGAGGAGGCTTTCAACAGGTGGTCACTAGGACTGCGCTGAAATGTGAGTTTGGCAATTTGGACAGTAGCAAGGAGAAGTTTGACATCCTTTTTACAAACACCTATCTTTCATCATTGTCTCAAATTAAAGTATTATTTACAATGAAATTTATTTTTAAAGTCTTTCAAAATTTAATCAGAAAGCAAGTGAAAATACTTCTTTTTCACTTATCAGAAGTGCTGGAAAGAATATCAATGTAAGGAAAACATTATAAAATAGAACTGGCTACCTGACAACTAGAGCATAGAGATGCACTATGTTGTGCAACTTTTGATACCAAGCTATTCATGACTAATTGTTTGGTTTCATTTTGACAACTTATGCTATTAAAGTGTTGTATACCTTTCTGTTTATGTGGGTTATCTCCTTTTTGTCTTACAATCAAAAGCTGATCCCAAGTTGTGAGTGGCTGTTTCTTTGCAGATTGATGCTCTGAGTGAAGTTGTGGAGGCAGTACAAGGCAGAATCGAAGTCTATTTAGATGGTGGAATACGGAAAGGAAGTGATGTATTAAAAGCGCTGGCACTGGGAGCAAAATGTGTCTTTATTGGACGACCAGCTTTATGGGGTCTGGCTTACAAGGTGAGTAAGGAGGTTTGAGTCTGTATCACAGAATTACACAATGGTTGAGGTTGGCAGGGCCCTCTGGAGGCCATCTGATTCAACCACCCTGCTCAAGCAGGTTGCCCAGGACCATGCCCAGGTGGCTTTTGAAGATCTCCATGGTGGGGGATTCTACAACTTCTCTGGGCAATCTATGCCAGTCCTCCATCACCCATACGGTAAAGAAATGCTTCCTCATGTTCAGACAGAACCTCTTGTGTTCCAGTTTGTGCCCGCTGCTTCTTGTCCAGGCACTGGGCACCAATAAAATTAGCCTGGCTCTGTCTTCACTGCATCCTTCCTTCAGATATTTATAGACATTGATAAGATCCTCCCTGAGCCTCCTTTCCTCCAGGCTGAACCACCCCAGGGTGTGTGCTTTCTTAACACACTCTCCAAGACTCCATTGGTGTTATTTAACAGTCTCACAGAGACAGTTTTCACCAGTGAGGAATCTTAAGCATTTTTTTGTTGTTGTTGTTTTGCTGAATTTTAAGTGGAACCACCCCAAACTGAATCAAACCCAGGCATTTTATTTGATTTAAAAATAACACTGAATTTCATTATTTCAAATATGATTTTGAAGCTCATAACATTGTCTTGTGGGCCCTGATTTCTTGACGTTGCAGCTTGGTGTTATAATACTGTGGGAGTCCAGACCACCACTGCTTTTGAAAATTGAAATTTTTGAAAATTTTGGGCTTATTTGCCACAAAAATGAGTCTGAAAATTTTATTTGCTGTCAGCTTATTCAAAAACAATTCATGATTTTGATACAGCAGTTTCACAATGGTATTACGAATTCTTTAGAAATATACATATGGAACTCTATCCCACTGACTTTTAAAACTTTTTAACAAGATCAAGCACAGCACAAGTCCTGTAGGTATCCAAGCGTGCCACTTCTGTCTCAGTTCCAGTTTTGCAGCTTCTTGACTCCTAGTGTATTGCAGTGATGCAGAATCATGAATCAGGCCTCTAATGCAGAAGGTAAACATAAAATATTTAAAATTAAAATGTAATTACACGAGGGTTTTTTTTTTTGTTTTGTTTTCCTTGCTAAGGTTTTGCTTTTTAGCCTCTGGATTGCAGCTTTAAAGCTTTTCTCAAGAAGAAAAAACAATATTTTTGTGGTCTAGATATATTTTGTGTCTTTAAAATTTAGACTCAATCAGTGATGTGAGTCCTATGGCTTTAAGCAAGAAAATACCTGAGTCTTGCAAGAAATCTGGAAGACATGGCAGCACTGTTTCTTTTGCCAATAAACACAGAAAATAGGCCTATCATGAAAAGGGTACCACTTTGATTTGTCTGCATTTTTTCCATCATGAAAACAAAGAGAAGGATTTTTTTTTTAGTTCGTCTGTGTTTGATATTATATATCTTAGGGTATTCCTAGATACGTGCTTCAGTGGCATTACTCTAGCATACAAGAGAGGGAGGGCATGAGGAAGCAGTGACATTGTCTGCACCCAAAGCATACTTCATTCCGAGAAATAAATAAATAAATAAAACAATAATAAAAAATAAACAGAGAATATCTTTCACTATTTTACAGTAAGAGCAAAATCACATGTATTGGATTTTGAGCTTCTTGGAGTTACTGCTTGGAGGAAAAAGAACAGTATACTATTTTTATTCAGCCCTGTATCTGAGTATACTAAAGTTTTTAAAGCTTTACCATATATAAAACTCTCATTACTTCATAAAATAGTGTCAGCATTTTAAGACTTGACATTTTAAAACAAGCCCACTGGAGGAGGTTAACTGAAAACTAAAAAAAAACTACAGCTAGAAAATGTCAGAAGTGATAAACAGCTTTGTTTTCTTTCCCTGTTCAGATGTATCACAAAAGGAAAAACATCTAAATTAATCTGTGATGAACTAAGCACATCCATCATATCATTTTAATCATTCATCTGTTTGAGAGACTGGAATTGGCACTGACTTGAGGGACTGTCCCAGCTCTCACCGTGCAAGCATCCTGCAGCATTGTTCTGTGCCAGTGCTCCTTTTACCCTGACTGCTTTCTTTGTTGGAGCAGGGTGAAGAAGGTCTTCAGGATGTTTTGAAGATTCTTCATGATGAGTTTCGTTTGTCAATGGCCTTAGCTGGTAAGCATTTTGCAGGTGATACAGGTTACAGAGGTAATTGGTGATACAGAGGTTATGAATATGATTGGAGCTTCATGTGTGAGCCATCTAAAATCAGAAGCCTGATGGATGGGTAACAAAGAAGGAAACCATGTGAATTGTTCTGGATCCAGTTGCTATATTTAAGGTGATTCTTTGTCTCCTGTGAAACTGCTTTGCATTTCAAGTGCCACAGCAATGAAAAATGCAAGGAGAATGTAGGTTAAAGCAAGATTTCTGACCCAATTTAAATAGAAGAAATGCAGAACTACTAAGTAGAACTGAGCAAACATTGGAGTTTCTGTTAAACTGGGAAATTAACATTTTCCAGTATTTTACTTAATTTTTACTAGGGTAAAATATATATATATATATTTTCCCACATGAAAAGTTCAGAAAAACTGGATGCAGAATTTTTCTCTGTCTACCACAGAATACAGCTCATTGGTACAGGTTCAGATCTCTTCATTCCACATGATTGAAAGCCTCTGTGTCTCCTCCAAGCTTTAAGTGTTGTTCCTAGTCCTGTGTTTTTCACCTGTGCTCCCACCTGTAGCTGCCACATTTGAACAGCACTCACCAAGCAGCAGATTTGTACAGTCTGGCCTCCAGTTACTTACATGAACAAGTACAGCATTCAGGTCCAGTGCAGAAGTATTTAAACATCAACAAAGGGTCCTATCACACTTCTAATAATGTTTTAAAGACTTTCATGCTCCAGTGATTATGAACTCAGGTGGACAGCAATGCTGACTAGGAAACTGAAACTGAAATCCATTGGGGAATTCTTAATAGTCTGTTTTTTTTGTGTTACTTTTTCTCTAGTAAAGATTACTACAAAGGTTTTTCCAAGAGGCTCTTACGCTTTACTTGCAAAAGGGCATAGAACTTGGCAAGAGCAGCAGGTTGGGAGCTTTTTGGAAGGGCTGTGAAATTCCACTCAGATTTGACCAAATGAAACAGTACTTGCAAATCTCCATCTCCAGTCACTTGACACATGGTGGTCTCTCATCCCTATGTCCTTTTTGTGGACCTTTCACTTCTGCCTGAATCAGATATTTCCCCACTCTGATTGTAATAAGGATTTTTTTTTTCCTAGTGTCTAACTTTTCTTGTGTGGGAAGCCAGATGCCTAACCTCAAGGCAGAGATGCAATTGTGCAGCAGAGCTCCAGGGTGTGAGCTGCTGAGGTGTCATGTCAACCTAGGCCCACACAGCTCACACAAGATTAGGCTTGTGGGCTGTGACTCAGAGAAGTTTCATCCACAGACCTTTCCCTCTCATCAACATGTTTAATTTCTCCATTTATTTCAGGCTGTGCCAGCGTCTCAGAAATTGGCCGGCACCTGGTTCAGTTCTCAAAGTTGTAAACAGCCTCCTGCAATACTCTCTGAAGAGAAGCAGCCAACAGCTGAGGTTCCAAAACTGACTGAAGAGAGAAAAAGAGGTGCAAATGCAAATGTTGAATGTAGATGTCTGAGAAGGCCTTCAGGAAACTCCTGAAGCAATTAGGGAAGGCTCTGTTAGCAATGGTCACTGTTTCCCCCCCCACCCTCCCCTTTTTTTTGACACCAATGAATTCTTTAATACTTCATATAAATGTTACTTGCTTAAATACATGTAATTTAAACTGTTTGTTCTCTGGCATTACCTGTGTTGGGCCTTACTTCCAAAATCTATTATGTCTGGCAGAAAGACTTAGCGGAAAACTATGTCCCTTGCTTCTTCCACTTGGTCATCCTACCACATCAGACTTCAGCTCAAGTTACACACTTTCCTGCTCCAGGTAGTATCACAATCAACGCCTTCCATTGCCTGGGTTTGCCAGGATGAAATCATAGCAGATACAGAAATAAAATGCATCAGCTAACAGGCACCTCAGCTCCCCTTTATGGTGGGATGAGTCTTGTCCTCTGCTTCTAAATGCAGAGAAATGAAGTCACTAGTAACCAAAACAACCCCCTGTGCTTCCCAGAGAGTGAACCTCCTCCTTCACTACATGGTTAACGTGGACTGTAAACTCATCCGAGCAGTGGTCAGGACACATGCATCTTCAGAGCACGGTGCCAGTTTGTGACAGTGCGTAAACAACTCTGCTGGTGCTGTAGTCTCTCATAACAACAACCAGGAGATTTTTTTTTTTCATATATTTTTTTTTTCCCCACATGGATGTTTCCTTTTCTGTAGCATTCTTTAAGTGACATCAAGTTTTTCTCCTCTCTCTTCCTTACTCCATCTCCTTTTACCATATTGTTGTCTCTACCAGCCCCCCTTCTCCATTATTTTTCTTCAGAAATATTTCAATCCTCATCTAGGCTATTATTTTTATATATCCCTAGCTAACATGAGCCTTCCAGTGTCATGGACCTTTGCAGATATATGAAAAGCAGCCACAGCCTCCCTCTCCATCCTCCCCAAATAGGCTGCTACCTCCTGCTGGTATCTTTATGCAACACAGACAGGAAAGATTGCTTGGGGAGGGTGTTTTTTTTGTGGCGGTTTGGCAGCGCTAAGGAGAAAACATTGACTCAGGATGGTTGTGTTCCTGGTTTTCCAGCCTGCCAGCAGCCAGCCACCTGCTCTGCTCTCTCCATGCTCTCTTCCCATTCCAGTCTGGGAAGGTTCATGGGAGCACCGGAGCCACTTTCTGTGCTCCAGCCTGGAGAAGGGAGCAAGGAAGAAAGCTGATGCCCAGAGCTGGGGGAGCCACTGGAGAGCAGAGGTGAGTCAGAGAAGGGGCAGACAGGGCAGAAGTCAGATGATGTCGTTGGTTAATGTCCACTGGGGCTTGTCTGTGCCGTAGGCTGCAGCGTGAACAGAAGTACCCTCCTCCCATCTGGCAGGGGGCAGCTAGCCTTGGGTAAGCAGAGCACTCTGCTTGATAAGCACCACAGCCACAGGTGGTGGGGAGTACCCTGCGCTGGCACCACTTCAGCATTGTCTGAATGTCTGTCATTGTAAGGCTGTGTTTGAAGCCTTATGCATGCATTCCCACCTGGCACTTGTGGAGGGGGTTGCATGCTTCCTTTTCAGAAATAGCAGTGGAACCTATTTTTGTGCTTTTTGTGATCAGTTTTAGCCTCTGGAGTACCAAAAAGGTGCTTTTCACCATTTTTTGCTTATCCAAATGCTGCAGCTACAACGTAATCCACTAAAGATGTGTTTACTCTAAATTCTTCTGCCTAGGAGGAGCTTAACAATGCTTGGATTTTAATCTTTGTGTAATGCTCTCCAAGTAAAGCCATAAACAGAATTCATCTACAATGGCTGAAATTCCTGTGTGGACATTTGGTCTTTGTTATAAATGTGTTATGTAAATCAGTGGGGAATTGGGCCAGTGCAACTGGAAATAAGCTGAATCTCAGTGAAGAGTTTAACTGATTTAACTACTCAGACTTAATCAAGTCTTTTTAAAAAGTCTAGGTAAACTACAAATGAAAACATATAATGTGTCTCTTCTTTAAACATGCAATGTAGTGTTAAAAATACCTGGAAAGAGATATGGCTTCTTGCTTTCTTTAAAGTATTTTTTAAGATCAGACAGCTACTGCTTATATGCTACTTTAGGGCTGCACAAAATGGCTGAGGTATGCTGGGCAGCAAAAGAGAACTGCCATCTTGCTGGGCACCTCCTCTGCTTAGTGCACCTTCCAGTCTTCCTATGCACACAAGACTCCATTTCTTGTACATTCGCAGGTATTTTATTCTTTCTCCCCTCTCCTAATCCCCTGGATATGCAAGAACAGGAAGGACTGAGTCATTCAAAGAAGGATTCAGCTGGTGTGGGGATACCTGAACCCCGGAGCTGTTGTCCAAGGCTCCACCATTCAGCTGGTTCCTCTCCCTGCAGGACTCAAAAAAACCCTGTTGCCCTGCTCTTTGGCATAAATTGAAGCACTTCATGTGATCCATTTTAGGAATGAATCAATTTTATGGATTAGGAATTAATCCATTTTAGGACCGGTTTTCTTCAATGTTTTCATAAATGATTTGGATATAGGACTTGCAGGTTCATGGATGATGGCAAATTGGGTGGAGCTGATGACTCCATCGAGGGTGGTGTGGCCTTGCAGAAAGACAAATTAGAGGGTTGGGCAATCACCAACAACATGAAATTTAAAAGAGCAAGGCCAGGTCCTGCACGTGGGAAGGGACAACCCTATATGTACTGACTGGGGGGCAAGATGCTGGAGGTCAGCCCCCCAGAAAGGGATCTGGGGGTTTTGGTTGACACCAAGCTGAACATGACCCAGCAGTGTGCTCTGGCAGCCAGGAAGGCCAAACATATTCTGGGATGCATGAAGCACTGCTAGCCAGTCAAGGGAAGGGATTGTCCTGCTCTATTCTGCACTGGTGCAGCCTCACCTCACTGTGTGCAGTTTTGGGTGCCACAGTATAAGAAAGACATAACTGTTAGAGAGTATACAAATTAGGGCTACAAAGATGAAGGGTCTGGAGGGCAAGATGTATGAGGAGCAGCTGAAGTCACTTGGAGGTTCAGCCTGGAGAAGTGAAGACTGAGGGGAGGCCTCAAGGCAGCCTACAGCTTCTTCACGAGGGGGACCACAGGAGCATGTGCTGATCTCTTCTCTTTGGTGACCAGAAATAGGACCCTAGGAGATGTCTTGAAACTGTGATGAGCAGTTCTGGTTGGTTATAAGGAAAAGGTTCTTCACTGAGAGGCTGGTTGGGCACTGGGACAGGCTCCCCAGGGAAGTGGTCATGGCACCAAGCCTGCTGGAGTTCAAGAAACATATGGACAATGCCCTCAGACGCATAGTCTGATATTTTGGGTGGTCCTTTGGGGACCCAGGAGTTGGAATTGACGGTCCTTGTGGGTCCTTTCCAACTCAGGATATTCTGTGATGCCCATACACATTGATTGTTCTGCCTGCTCCCTGCCATTCTTCTTCCTGTGCAGGGATTGGGGTGCTGATGGTGAAATAAAAGGAGATCCTGGATTTAAAGACCCTCATGATGCACAGGAAGTAAAACCAAGATTGTACCACTCTTTAGTTTTGGCATCTTGAGTCTTTTAAATACTTCACTCATCAATAGAAATAAACTAAATCAGATTTTCTCCCTGTTCTCATGTGTAGTCTACAGCAGATTTTATACCAACAGAATCTGCAAATATTTTGCTTGATAAAAGCAAAATAAAGTACAGTCCATACATTTTAAAATTAACATTGTTACAGTCTAAAGACAAGTCAGAAAGAGTGAGCAGAGTTCTGGTCAGATGGCTAGGACTGGGACTCAGAGGACTCAGCATTTCTACTTGTTTTCTGCTAGACTTTCTCCAGGTTTTTCTGAATTGTACAACCAGGGTATAAAAATGCAGAGCAGTGATGGAGTGCTGGACCTTCTACCAATCTGCTGCTCCATCTTTGTGCGGTTGTCTTCTTTAAGATACCAAGCAGATTTCAGGGCTGTGTGTGTACTGTTCCCTGCTACACCCTCTCCTCCAGGGCCAGGGGGATTTGAGAACTAAGCAGTACTATCAGCAATGAGTGCCATTTCCTTAATGCACAAATGTAGCAATAAGAGCCATAAATATTTTCCCAGTCAAGCTTGTGCCAGTGTCATGCCACAGTGATCAAGTGCCAAAGGAGAGGGCTCTGGGAGTGCTAACTGCACTCTCCCGTAGAGCTGTGGGCACCAGTTCGTATCTGGTGTGACAGAGCAGACAAAATGAAGCAAAATATGGTACCATTAAGATCTGGGCACATACAACTCACAGCAATGAGCTTTGCAATTGGCAGCTGTCATTTTGCCCCCTTCCCTGGCGTGGGTGAGAGGAGCCACGCTACCAAGTAACCTTCTGCATAAGCCCTAAGGTGGCCGTAAGAAGGCAGAAAAGAGAAGCTAGCCCTGTTAGTTTACCCTGTTTAGACCTGAATTTCTCACAGAGATAAAAGTGTCTGCAGTGATCTCCCAGAGGCCTTCACATGGAGGCCTTTCTCTTTGTTCCAGTAATAACAAACCTTGTAGGCAGACTTATAGCCAGGCAGATAAGACTCAAGAATAATAGCACATCACACTCTATGATGAACTTCAAGGCTGTACAAGAAGGGGCTAAATGAACGGTGATTGTTCAGTCCCGAGAGGGCTAAATAAAGGTGGAGGAGGGGCTCTTACCACTGCCTTTTGCTACTCAGTTGGAGGGAACACAGAAGGTGCAGCCTGACTTCTCACATGTGCATAGGAAAAGAATGAAAGACAGTGGGCATGAGCTGCAATGAGGGAAATTCCAGTTAGAAATTAGTGGAGAAAAATTCTTCATAAGGGCGGTCACACACTGCAGTGGGACCCCAGAGGTTTAGCGAAACCTGCATCCTTCGAGGCATTCAGAGCTTGACTGTCCAAAACCCTGAGTAACCTCATCTAAACTGAAATCATTGTAACAAGAAACCTCCAGAGGCTCCTTTCAAAGTTGTTGGGGAACATCAGCCTAAAAACAGTAAGAACAATATATCAGATCTGTACCCTGCCTTACTACCATGGAGCTGCTGAGGAAACACTTAAATATCTGTGAAAGAGGGCCCAGAAAACATTTTCTGAGGAAAATAAAAATATTTGGTGAGTGAGCTTAAAAGAAGAGCTCACAGGGTTCCACTAGGCTGAGAGGCTATTGTACAAGCCCATTCTACAAGTTTTCCAAGACTTTGGAAGTTTTCTATGATCTAGATTAAGCTTTTGCCTGTGTATACCAAAGCCACACGCCCCCTTTCTACACTCTGTCCTGCTGCTTTCTATGTTTGATTGTTGTGAATATCTCTCATGCAAATTTAAGCAAGGTCAAATCTTCCCCAAAAGCTGTGCCCAAAGAGACTGTAAACATGTGGGTTAAGAACTAATCAAACCCTGCTGCCTTCCAACATCCCTGGAGGATGTAGCAGGGACGTGGAGTCAGGCTATTTACAAGGGTAGTTTATCTACAAAATGGATCCAAATTAAACATTTTCCTTTGGCATATGTTGCAAATTTCTACGGCTTTTAGATATGTAATTCACTCATCAATTTCAGTTGAGGAAACGCAGTTCTACCTAAAAGTAAAGGGAAAAAGAGACTAAATGTTTGTTTCTAGTTAATTGCTCAGCACAATTGTCTAAGCACACGAGCAAGGAATATTAAAGTAAGTCTTTCTGATCATGAAGATCATGTAAGGAAAGTTTACAGTCATTTTCTCCCTTCTACCAAAAGAAAATGATACTACTGCAAAAGGAGAGATTTTCTTTGTTGGACTTGAATACACAAAAACATTGAGGCCTTTTAAGGTGGTGATCATCATACCTTTGTTGAAGTGTCTTAAAACTATTCCTCACTATGTGAAGCTGTGTTTAGTCATTCAGCATACTGATCCAATAGTTAATAATTTAAGTCTTGTTGCCCCTTGTCAATGTGTAATCAGAAGACAAAGGAAAATGTTTTCAGGGAACAGTGCCTACCATCCTGAAGGGGAGAACCTATCCTTGGTACATCTGTGACTCAAAGTACACCCACTTTTCCAGAGCTGCCAGCATGTAGACATTTAAGCTTACAGGCACATGATGTTAAGAAACATGTTCATTCTTAATATGAGAAACATATGGATTTGTCATGTGTTTTTTTTTTTTTTTTTTTTTTTTTCTGGTCACAATTACTCTATGCTTAGACAGCAAAAGGTCCAGTTAAAATAATAAGCATGTCTTTGCTTTTGTCTGCTTCAGTTCTCATCAGCCCGGACAACCAGGCACAATCTAGCGACCTAAAGCAGACTTTTTTTTTTCTGGACAAAGGGATCTGTCCTTCTCTTCCTACTCCTAGATGGTTTCTTTTGCCTGACTGAGCAGTAATACATCACTTCTGTAAAAACATACTACTTTTATCCTACCTAAAACTTATGTGTTCTGCAAAGGTTATTTTATTTATTCATTCTAGTGCCATGTTTCAGTTTGTTCTAAGTGCTGCCGGGAATTTTTCTTTCACTATTTCTCTCTTTCTGTCTTCTCATCTCCACTCTGCTCAGCACTTCTTTTCACCCCCTCCCCACCTCATGATCCCTTTTTCTCCTTGTGGCAAGTGTAAGAAAATGTGTTCTCCTAATACCAGCCAGCCATTGCCCAAAAGTATTTCTGTCACAGTAGGCACCAAGAAAGCTGGAGCACCAACCCTGTTCCTGGGCCATCAGATTAGTAACATGGGTGCAATGGGACACAGTGGGTTGCACAGGTATTATGCTATCTGCTTAGTCCGTGAATGGCAACTCTCCAATACAAGCCAAAATTTTTGCAAGCAATGATTTTCTGAAATGCAGCTTTTAGAAATGCAACCCATTCCTGTCCACCTCTGTATACATCAGGAAAATATCAGATTGTGAAGGCCTTGTTTTATGATAAAGCCAAGGAGGAGGAAGACAATATAGTTAAAAATGACTGCACCCTGACACAGAGTGCAGTGTTGGCAAACTTTTTAGATGATGTTAAATTTTGTTTTAGTCTGCAAATCCCTAGCCGATGCTATAGCCTTGAATTCTTTCAATTTGTTCCTAGTGGTTAGGGGTCTGACGTGCTCTGGCCTCACTGCTCACTGAAGCTGCTCTGTAAGCACTCTCTGGGGCGTACAGTCCTTTCCAGCATCTGCCTGCATGTGCTTCAGGCAGTACCAGAGCCACTCTGTTTGGCAGCACAGAGGAGCTGTCGTGCTACCTTGCAACACCACAGAGCAGCGCCAAAAAAGAAACTGAAGGTGAGGAAGTTCACTCTAGGCAAAATCACAGGAAAGCACCAGCAAGCACCAGTGGGTCTTAAACTGAGCAAAGTGCCACAGTCTGATCTCCGACATCCACAAAAGGCAGTTCAAATGAGGGCTGCTGTGTAGTGATATGTGAAATTCACTCAAACTGTCCCTACAGTCCTCTACACGGCATTCATGTTATGTCAAGTGCTGTTCCAGCTAAGCTCAGGAATACTAATAGATAAGCATGGTGTAAGAAAATGTTTCATATTCTAAGAGGCTCTATTGCATTGTGTCTTTTTATAATGCCTCTTTCAGGCATTTTATTTCCTTTCTAAAGGTAAAAACAAAGTACCATTTCTGAGAAGACCATTTCTGCAGCAGCAGACTTATTTTTCCTTGCAAAATGCACATACTGCACAAAATTAATTTGCACTAGCTTCTGATATGAACATACAGAGTCAAGGTCCAGTCTGAGAGGAGCCAAGGAAAGAATCACAATTAACTTTCTTTTAAAGCTTTGTGGGGGTCAGAGAAGGATTTTCAAGGACAGTGTCATTGAAACAGTTGCCAAAATTTTATCATCTGTGTCATCCAGAAGTTCTCTTCGCCTCGAACAAAGATGGTTTTGCTTTCCTGCGGTTATTTGAAGGTGCAGTTTTGCTCTAAAAACATAATGATGGGGGATGATGTTCCTATAGCTTTTCTCCAGGGCTCTCTTTAGTGATTGAACCAAAATCATGACCACAGAATAAAGCGGGGAATTTGGGGAATTTAATGCAAAAATACAATGCAGCATTTTTAGAGATCCACTCCAGCTATGCCTGAAATCAGTGGCCCTCTTTCCAGTGATCTCAGTGATTACTTGTGTTTTTGGGATGCTTTGTCATTTCCCACAGCAGCTTTTAAGGTGGCTATCTGTTCAACATCTTGTTTCAGTCTTCCTATCTATGTTTGAGAGAGAGAAAAATACAGCTCAAGTCAGGGCATTCTGCTAGGATACAAAGACCCAGGAAGGCAATGTAAATATTATGCACTTCAAACTTATACCTAAGCCTTACCCTGGTCCCACACTAGGAAAGAGTTTTGCTAGGACTGTAGTGAACCTCTAGTGAGAAATAGCCAGGTGTTTTATGTTGGAAATGTAAAAAATAATGACACAGTTCACTCTAAAGCAAGCCACAGCCTTATTTTGATGAGATACTCTAACACCAGGTATTTCAGAGGTAAATCTTTCTTTCCGGCAGCTTTATTTAACTGCTCTATACTTCAGAACATTTAATCACTTCAAAAGCCTCAAGTATCCTGAACAAATACAAAATCCCTTTTCTCACACAGAGTTAGAAATCCCTGCTATAATGGGGGAGCCCAACATCCAAAAAACTGGCATCACCAACAGTGTAAACAGCTACTCCTGCTATTTACATTTAATGTTAATGTTCTCTCCCTTCATATTAACATTGTGTTACACAAGCAAGCACAGCTACAGAGAGTTATGAGAGTGAGGATTTACCCTCCTAGCACTTAGGGCCAAATCTAATGAGGCATTCAGACCTCGCTGCATCAAGGACATTCCTCTGAGAGGGGAGGGGTGGAAGCATCACATTCATTTGTAGCAAAGGAGATGTGAGAGGGAGGGGAAGAAAAATGTCCAAGGTAGTGCAGTGTAGTATATAAATGCAAGAAAATCTCCTCCACAGTCTTCTGAATGCTAGAGGTGGAACCAAGGATTGAAGCAGACATCAGTGAGGTTTGTTTAGCATTGAAGTTGATATTGAGCATTTTCAGAATTAACTTCTTCAGTTTGAAATAGTAAGTATTTTTTCTCTGTGCATGGAAAAATGTGTAAGCTGTTTCTGTATAGGAATAGATAGCAGAAGTTAGAAATGCTTTTAAAATTATTGTTCAATGTAGGGGTCAGTTTGCTTTTCAATATTCTGTCTTTCTGGTAACACTTTGGGATCTGTAAAGACTCTGGAGGCTGATGTCCTGTGTCTGTTTTCTCAGGCAGGAGGAGAAACTGCCAGTTAAACTTCAAGAGAGAGCCATTTTGGCATTGACGAGCAACCCAGAGCAATGTCACTGGCTGGGGTAAGCTGTCTGGTGACCGGAGCAGGAGGATTTCTTGGCAGGAGGATTGTCCAGTTACTGCTGGAAGAAGAGGAGGCACTGGCTGAGATTCGGCTGCTGGACAAAGCCTTTAGCAGTGAAGCACTCAGGAGCTTTGGAAGTGAGTACCATCTTGTGAGGATGATGCTTTGTGGGTATGTGTGCTTTTGTCTCAGGTGTATAGCTTGGGCACCCTTACCTCCCACCCTAACCTGTTTTTTTAGACACAGGCTTTATTTCAGGGAGTTCTTGCTTTATCCAGCACAGAAATCAGGCATAAAACGTAACAGCAAGACTTTTCTTTGCCAGAGCCTGAGCTTTCGCAAGGTCAGAAGAGAGACCAGTACACTTGTAGAGCAGCAAACAGCTGCCTTAAGCCTGGCTTCTAATTGCATCAAAACCCACATGAATGCAAAAAATCTCACCCTTCCCCTGGGGAGAAGGAAAATGAAGCCAGTGCTGTATCTGGGGGACAGTGTAACCCAGAGCATGCTGCCCTGGGCTCTGATGTGCAAGTGGCAAAGTTGTGGGTGCCAGTTTTCTCCAACCTGTGATCAATTAGATTAACACAAGCCTGCATGGGCTGAGATTTGTGAGGTAATAGCTTAAAATTTGGTTGCTATTATGAATACTGTAGTTGCCTGGCTAGCAGAACTCTTTCGTGGTATGCACAGAAGGGCCAGGACTCATTTGCAGAAGACAAGTCAGGGTTTGTTTTCTTGAATGGACTGGAGACAGCATAAATGAGTGATGCACCCACAGCCAGAAGCAGTATGTGGTGGAGAAATCAGCTCAGAGTATTGTGCTTTAAATGTCCCATTTCCTGGCATCCTGAGCACTTCTATTAAAATATCACATGGGTACCTAAATTTGGTCATACACATGAGTCCCTACCATACAGACACTTAATCAACATGCTTTCCTCCATCACATCTTAACCTCAAAACCGTTCTTCCTCCATACTGACATTATCTATGTGGGAATCTGTACAGAATACCTGCACACAATTTGTTAAAGAGCCACAATCTTTCCATAAAGTGCTGAAGTGTCAGTGAAGAACAGTAACAGCGCAGCATAAACCTGGTACAAATTGCACAAGCCTTTAGGAAGGTTTTATATAATCTTGACTTCCTCTTCATTAAATCTCATTCACCATTTCACTTGCTTGATGCTCTTGAGCCTCACAGCAGTCCTTTCTGCTCTGATTTCCAGGCAGGTCCCACAGCCTGCAATTGCAGTATGCACAAGCTTCTGCAGCACCAGTAGTGTGTGTGGTTTAGCACTGATGCAGCAGGGCAGCACAGAAACATCTGCTCTGTGCCATGAAAACTTTGTGGGGACTGTGGAGCTTCCTGCAGAGCAAAAACAACTGTGTGTGTGAGCACAGTCTTGGCTGGGCTGCCGCGGAGTTTTTGCTGATCCTTTTTTTTTTTTTTTTTTTTTTTGTTAAAAAGAAAGCTCTGTGCCTTCTTTCCTTTTCCACCCACCTTTCTTTCCTGAACATTGCCCAGATATCACCCTCTCCTATTCTTACTTTATTCCTGCTGCCTATCTGACCAGCACAGGAGGAAGGGAAAAACCAGATATCAGAACATTTTTTATTTTTGCTTTTCCCACACAGACAGGTAGTAGGAAGAGCAGGCAAGCAGTTCAGGTGTGTTTGGACTGCCTTAGGCCCTTACATTTGAACTGGTGGTCCTTCTGTCTGTAACAGCCTCTAGAGCTATATCTCTTCATGTGCTTGTACTCAGGACTACCTGAAATAGTTTCCTGCCATTCCCTCTCAAGTCCTTCCATATCACAGCACTTGCTATTCGCAATGCAAAGCCTGTGGGGCTGAAGTCTTCTCCACCATTATTTCTCCCCGTTAGTATTCTCTCCGTTATTTCTCCTGTAGGGACTTTGGCTTACTGGCACACGTTGTTTGGATTTCTTGTATAGCCAGGAGCAGGGCTGAGTCATTTTCTTTCTCACTGAACTCTTGAGCACATTTTGCTTGCAGTAACTTTGCAGAGTCAGGGTTGTAGCTAGTAATACAGGAGCACATGCAAGTTGAACATCCCAGTAGCTGAAATTGGGACAGAATAAACATCTCAGCCCCCACAGACTGAAGACACTAATAAATTGCATTGAAAATACAATTGCCTTTACAAATGAAAAAAAAAAAAGAAATTAAATTGAAATTAAAAATTAAAAAATTGCCTTTACAAATGAAAATACAATGCAATTTCTAATTTTATCCCATGAATGAAAGAATTAGATCATTTTTATGAAGCATCCACTTAATCAGGAAAGTGGAGAGCTCTCATGAGCGCCTCTACCCACCATCCACCCTGCAGCCCTTAGGAGCTCCGTAAAAGAGCACCAAGTACTTCAAGATCCTGAAATCCCACAGACATTACTGGTTGCTTGAACTTTAAAGAAGACTTTGAATAAAGAAAGACAATTTAGGGCAAATAGTCTAACTGCATTGCTGAGTCAGACAGGACATTGTATTTTACTAAGTAAGCATTACATTTCCAAGCAAAAAGTACCCTGTAGCAAGCAGGGAGCATTGCTCGCAGCAGCTCAGAAGCCAGAAAAACCATTGGTGAAGTACAAGAAGCTTTCTTAGTGGCTATGTGCTTTCTCATAACTACAGAATGCAAAAATGGAGAGCTGGGTTGAATTTATTCCCTTCCTCCCTCTTCTACCTGATGCACACACAGGTTTTGATGCCTGGGCAATGGTCTATGAAGACAGAAATCAAGTTTCTCCCTGCTGTCCGTCTCATACTGAAACCACTGTCTCTATCATTCATTTTTTCCCTCTCTCTACTTTCAAGCTCACCTGTCGTTTTCCTCTTCCCAGAGCACACCAAGAGCAGTCTGCTGATTCCTCAGAGATAGCTTATGTTGGTAAGGCGGTGAACAAGGTCCATGTTCTATTTTCAAGGGCAACTTCTTCTGACCAAAGTAGGAGTCAGGAGCAGCTTTCCTGTCTCATATCACACACACAACTTAAATTGCAAGCCCAAGCAAGGCACAAAGCAGCTGGACAGTAGCTTTCCAATGACCGGTACCAGCTGTCTCTGTGCTCAGCTTTATAAAAGGCAGTTTCTTTTATATTTTTCCTGAAAGCTTTGGTTTTCATGTGTAAAAACCTCAATTTTCCTAGCTTCAGCCTAGGTACAGTTACCACTCTGAAGTGAATGTATGTCAGAATTTACATTGTGAAAAACATATCTTTCAATCAATTCACAGTGGAGATCACTATAAACCACCTGAAAACACAGCCTTAGGAAATAAATGCATTCTGTAAAATAAAAGAGCACCAGACAGTAATGCTGGAGGGCAGCAACTCTAGTTTTAGTATGAGTTCTGTAAATGTTGAGCATTTACTTTCTTGGTTCACATTTCAGATCAAGGAGCTGTAAAGAGGGAAAAAAAAATCCCTCAAACCTGTTGCATGAGAATAATTGTTAAATTAATGCAGGATGAAATTCTGTCCGGTTCCACAAATGAGGAGAGAAAACCAGGTAAAAAGATTAAAAGATAATTCCTACATGTATGCATTTATATTTCTTAGCAGCTGTATCTGTTAGTGTTTTTCCATTAAAGATGTGGGATGAAATCCTGCCTGCTTTGGAGACAGCGACAAAAAAAAATAGGGTAGACAAGATTTCGGTCACGGCTCAGGCTAAAAGCTGTACAAATTTTATCAAATTCTCCCCTTATCTAAACGGGCCATTGAATTCCTCTGGAAGAGGGCACAGCATTGCCTGTGCCTCGGAGCCCCCTGCCAGTAGCTGTGCCTTGGGAGCCCTCTAGCGCACGCACAGCAGAGGCTCAGGAGAGGATAAGTGTTGCTGTAGTGACACTGAGTCCTTAGAAGATGTACATCATGCTGAGAAAGTCCCCTCCCGTGACATGGCTGCAGCCAGGCCACCAGACTTCGCAGGAGGGCAGCATGTCGCCGGGCTGCAAGTTTCTCCATGCCATCAGCCTGTGCTGACTCAATTTTGAAGCATAGTTCAGGGCTGTATTAGGATGCTGTGCAGCAAAATTTAGGAGAAGGGTGGCTCCAAGATCAAGAACTGTCACATACATTTGCTGCTGGGGAGTGAGGGAGCTTGACCAGGAAGATCAGGGATTAAAGCAAGCCAGGGCTGAGGAGTGTAGCCTTGAGAGTTCAGATTTGGACCAGAAGGATATGGTTGCTAAAAATGGTCCCACTGTCCACAAGCTGAAATGGAGCCAGCACTAGAGTTATAAGAGGCATGGTAAATTGTGACCTAGGTAGGTAAAAAAGGAGTGGTGCCAGAACTGCAAGTAATGTATTAGAAGATTTGCAACATGAGCAAAGTCAAGGAGCAGGAATTAGGTGTGAACACAGCTCTGTGTACACATTCATCACCTGAAGATGTGAGCATGAAGTGCCTGGCTGTTTGGTACTTGGATTAACACTTTTATTAATAGCCAGTCACCAGAACATACATAGCTAAAGCTTCTCCCTCTGAAATTTAAAACAGATTGATGTCATACCTGAAGGAAGCTTCAGGCCCTTGACAGAAGTGGGGAAATTTCATTTAAAAAACAAACAAGCAAAAAACATGTCAGATTTTGGCTGCAAACATATGGTAGGTAAAGCAACATAGACCTGTACAGCACTGTAGTTAGCACTTGGCTATACAGCCACTGGAAAACACCTTCTGTTTTGCCAGCCTTAAAATATTGCTTCTGTTCCTGGGCGGTCAGCAGCACCCAGGAACAGCTTCAGCATCTACGCAGCCCTTCACCACTCCTGTCAGAGCTCAATTTACGGTGCCCAGCAGGTCTTTTGCTTTGCTGTCTGCTTCCCTTGCAGGATTCCAGGGCAAGACAGAGGTGAAAATCCTGGAGGGGGACATCCGAGATGTGACATTCCTGTACCATGCCTGTCAGGGGGTCTCCCTCGTCATCCACACAGCTTCCATCATTGACTTCTTGGGCCTTGTAGAGACACAGCTGCTCTGGGAAGTCAATGTAACAGGTAAGCAGGCAAAGCACCTTTCTCAGACCTTTTTCTATTAAGTGCTGATCATCATCTGCTCAGGAAAGGGAACACCTGACATGATTTAGTTTTGAGCCAGATTCACTGGGTTGTTGTGCAGTTTGCACAGCTACACATGTGAGTGAAAGCCATGCATAGCCCTATGCAGCTCTGGCCACCTCTACAGCCAGCGTGCATCAGTCACGCTCTGCAGGGCATTGCAGGGCTGTTCACTCTTGTTTAGCACTCACATACACCCATCCTGAGATCTGCACAGTCTTTGCCTTTAGAGGGGAAAGTCATAATTCCATGCTCAGTGGACCTTTTTGGAAGCAATTCATCTCTGAAATCCCAATATGCATCTAAAAAAAAATCTGTAACACAATTGCCTGCATACATTTTCCAGTTTTTACAAATACTACAGGCTTTCACTGCAACTACAGGAAACTTTGATTGCCAATGCCCCAGACCGTGCGTCTCTCTGCTTCCATTCTTTTCCTTCTTCTTCTTTTCATTTGCCTTCACTTGCTGTTATGTCTCTGTGTGTATGAATGCAGTTCAGAGAACGTGTACTTTCCCACTTTGAGCTCATTACTAAGATTTCCCTGGCAATCTCAAGGCTGTGGGAGGGAGGGTTTTTAGTGACTTCAGCAATGGGATCTCCCTTTCTACTAAGGGCTTCCTGTTCCTTGTAAAGAAAGGTCAGATTAAGGCGGAAGGTTTGGGCTCAGGAATGGCCCGTGTGGTATCAGCTGTCAGGAAATTTCAATATATTTCCTAAAAGAACAAGTGCATCCCCCTTCCTGTGATCCCTCTCTATGCCTTTCAGTAAACAGGTTCTGCTTACCCTCCATGCATGCTGACCTCTCAGGCTGTGTTGCTCCAGCTCCTGGGTGAGGATTTGGGGAAGATGTTCTTATTTACATTGATAGTTTTTCTGGTCCTTTGTTCTTCTCTACCACAGGCAAAGGCCTTCTTCACAGAAAAATATGGAACGTATTTGTACAGGCAACACTTTTACAAATATTGGCTATGCTCCAGTGCTCAGAGGAAGAGAGTGTTCTTTGTAGATGAGTTGTCTCTTACACACATCTTAAAAACAGTGAGATGTCATATTTGTCATTTCAGCCTGGCCTATCACCTGCCTATTTAGCTTCCAGAGCCTTTCATTTCTAGTCACTCAAAGCCACAGATTGAAAGCGGCCACAAATTGGGGCCCAGAAGGTAGTTTTTCAGGTCCCTGCCAGGAGGGAAGAGCAAAAAAGGAAGTTCTTGTAAACATGTCAAATTTTTGGTATGAAAAATAAATATACAGGGGCTGTCGTTCAGAGAGGAGATTTATAAAGCTTTCTCTTTATGACCATCCTCCTGTTACAATCTGTTTTTCACAGCAGAATGTGTTGCCTATACCCCTTAAAAAATACAAAATAAAAATTAAATGTCCCAAAAGCAGAACGGAGCAGGATCAGAGCTAGAAGGTTTATTTGTTTGCAGTGTTATTCCTTTCAGCAGGTTTAGACTTAGGCACAAAATATTCAGATTCCCCCTGACAGAGTGTGTCTTTGGGTAAAATAATTTGGGCTGTGAGGGTTAGCTGAAAACAAGTGGTAAAATGAAAGCACACACCAGTACTGCTCGCAGATCAAATAGCCACTAAGGTCAGTTGCTAAATATTAAAGTCCTCTTCCCTTTTCTCCTCTACTTCTACTCTGATGCTCTTTCGGCTTTCCAACCAGCCAAGACACTGCTATGTACTTCACGGGCATGCAGCATGAAAGTTTTGTTTCTCCTAGAAAACAAAATTTTTATAATAAAAATGTGTCAAGGAACCAGATATGTGTGTTCACAAACCAGAACATAAGCAAACAAATTCTAGTTAATTCCCACTCCATTTTTTTTTTTTTTTAATAAAAAATCCGCCTTGCTTCTAATTCAGGCCTACAAACATAGGACACCTAAGGAGGGAAAGTTTCCAGCTCTTTTCAGCTTACCCAGATGGGAGCAGTCTGGACGGGAGCAGACCCAACCTCCCCCATGGGAGCTGACAAAACCCAAGCACATATAGGGAATGGGTCTGGTAATTAAGAGATTGCACTTCTTTTGGCAACCCCATTCTCCAGGTGGGAACCTCCATACTTCAAGCCTTTTGAATGGGATCTCACAAAGGTGATGCGACAAAGCAAGTGCATGTGGATGTGGCATCTCCACATTCAGACCTCAGGTGGGAGTGTGAGAACCTAAATGAATTGTAAGTTAAATTTGCTGTGATGCAGGTGTTTTCTCTGGCTCACATTTCACACAATGCCTCAAGGGTACAGTATCTTTTCAGGAAGAGAAGAGACTTATAATAAATTTTTAGGAGTAAGGGAATTAAATAATAATTAAATATAATCCAAACAAAAGTGCCCTCTATGAACCAGTTCTTCAGGTCTATATTCAAGCTTGGTTCTTGCAATGCTGACTGAAACCAGAAGGACTTTGTGCAAATAGAACTTACAGACCTGGTCCATGGAAGATTTACTTTATTACCTGCTAAGTCAAAGATGCTCAAGTTCCCATTACTGTAAGAACCTTTTCATTTTTTACCATGCAACCTTCATTTCATGAGTTAACACTTAACCATGTGCTGTTAAAAATATAGCACATTTTTTTAGGGTGAAATTGATCCCAAATGGATATCAACTACTAAGATAATTTTATGTTTGCTTTGTTAAAACTTGCTATCTTTTTGATTTTATCCAGCTCCTCTGTACTTTATTACTTTCCCATATTTTTCAAACAGCATCAATAGCAGGAACAGCTAATTAAACTATTACTATATTTAATATAACTTACTAATTAAACTTTTTTCCCTTCTTGAGGAGTTCCAGGCTGGAGCCCTTTTCAGCCAACCCAGCCACATGCAACCTAACTTGCACATTTCTCTTTTGAAGGTACTCAGATGCTGCTGGAGGCATGTACCCGTTGTAACGTCCAGCACTTCATATACACCAGTACTGTAGAAGTGACAGGCCCAAACTGCAGAGGTGACCCAGTATTCAATGGTGATGAAGATACAGCTTATGAATGTATGTCAAAATCCATTTATGCCCAGAGTAAGAGACTGGCAGAGGACTCTGTGCTGAAAGCAGATGGCCAGATGTTGAAGGATGGAGGCATGCTGCTGACTTGTGCCCTGAGATCCATGTACATTTTTGGAGAAGGATGCCCATTTCTTCAAGGTCATCTGGATAAGTGTCTGTTGAACAAAAATGTCTACCTACGCTTCTCCAGGAAGGAGGCTTTAGTGAACCCCGTGTATGTGGGCAACATTGCCTGGGCACATGTGCAGGCAGCCAAAGCTTTGCAGGTCCCACAGAAAGCCAAACATATCAGGGGGCAATTCTACTACATCTCAGATGACACTCCTCATATGAGCTATGCAGACCTAAATTATGAGCTTACCAAAGACCTGGGGTTTGGAATTGAGCCCCGGCTCCCCATGCCTCTGACAATGTTGTATTACTTCTCACTGCTGCTGGAGATCATGAGCTTCTTGCTCAGGCCCTTTGTCAGGTATGTCCCCTCCACCAACCGTCACCTGGTCACCCTCCTGAACACCCCATTCACCTTCTCCTATAGAAAGGCACAAAAGGATTTTGGCTACATGCCCCGTTACACATGGGAAGAGGCCAAGCGGTGCACTGGTCAGTGGATTGCCTCTGTGGTCCCACAGAGGAGGGAGCACTTGAAAATCAAGGCTGCCTAAATCTTAAGAGGAGATGAGGCCTGGCTGAACAAGTAGGGCCATGAGCTAAAGAAGAGCTGGGTAAACAGCAGCAGCAGATAACTACAAATGAAAAAAAAAAACAAAACAAAAACATTTACCATTTACCATTTTCTTTAGTAACATCCTAGTTTAAGTATGGGATATCCAAAGTGGTAGAATACCAGCAACCAAAACTTGCAGTTATATTCTGGGGGCAGAGGAATAAGTCTTTTGAACTTCCATTGAAGTTTTTGTACTCAGCAAACTAGTACTGTGGATGTCATTTGAATGAATGCCATCACTTCTCTCAACATCTCCATCAGAGATCCTCCATTATTAATAAGCATGCAAATCTGTCCCATACTGAAAAAGACGCATGAGAGTGAGGAGGTTTGCGGGTACCTTAAATAATAAAGGATTTCAAATGAAATTTGGAGTTGTAAATTGGATAGAATCATGGATAGAATCTGCCCCAGGAAAATTGATGTGTGTGCTATTTAAAAACAGATAAAAGGCATTATTTAACATATTTTATTTTTCTCGAGGCAGATGAGCAGCACATCTGTGTGCAGGGGGCTGTATTACCTCTGTGATGTGATCCATATTCTTCAACATCAAGTAAACAACAACAATTTTTTAATACTTAAGCTAATTCTACGGTGAGGTCTGATTGATCTTATGGCAGCAGTTTACTAAGGTCTTGTCCCATCCCTTTGTCCAGTAGCAAAGCCAACAGAACAGACTCAAGCACTTATATCTCAGCCATTCCAGCCTGGAGTTTTCAGCACAAAGTGCAGACCCACACAAAAGGTCCACTCAAGCAAACACTGTTTTCCTATCTTTGTTCCACCAAAGGGGTGAGGCAGAAACCTGTGACTGAAGCACCTTTCACTGTCAAAGCTGTTCACTCAAGTGAACTTAAGTAGGAGCAAGCAAAAGTCTCCTTTTTTTTTTTTTTTCTGCTAAATGTACAGCATTTTGAAGCACGCTGTTGACAGTGACCAAAAGAACAGCAGCCTGGTGGCGTGGAAATACCTGAGGCACGAATTTTGTGTGCATCACAGACAAATGCAGAGCAATGTTTTTTTAGTCATCCTTGTCTGGATATAATTTGGCCAATCTGGTTTAAAAAAAAATAAAAAAAAATTGTAAGCTAGCCGATTGTCCTATTCAACCAATAAAACATGGTTTGGGATGGTCTTTAGTTCACAGGCACTTGAGGGAAGGATCCGCCCCTGCTGCTTAGCTCTATTGTCTGCCTTTCCACAGTTTTGCTTAAGCCCAGGCCTTCAAAATTGCCTGAAATGAAATCAAATCAATCCTGAATCAATCTACTCATTACCAACAACAGCAGCCAACCACCCCTCAAACAGATGCTAACAACTGCACAAGGCACACAGGTGAGAGAAATAGTGTGCTTATACCTTGCTTGTGCCAGGTTCGGATGTGTAAATTTCAGTGTCTAAAATATGGAGCAGTTTTAGGCCATTTAATTTTACTCATGTTCCCTAAAATTTCTTCCTAAAAGACTGATAAAACAAACCTGTTCTCTGCCTGCCAGGACTCCGAGCTGCAGAACAGTTCTTGGTAAGAATGATTTGCCCATGAAGGTCAGTAAGTACTCTGGGTGCGACTTGCAAATAGGGAACATCTTACTTATCAGTGATTCCAATAATCATACCTTTATGCTAAGAAATACACCTCCAGACCTCTCCATTCATGCTCTGTTCGTCTACAGACAGAGCTCCATCTTCTGTTGAGCTCTGTTCCCCTCCCATCCAGTTTCTTTGCCCTCCACTACCCTTAGTCAGATAATCATAGAATCACAAAAGGGTTAAGGTTAGAAGGGACCTCTGGAGGCCATCTGGTCCATGTCCCTTGCTTGAGCAGGGACACCCAGAGCTGGTTGCCCAGGACCATGTCCAGACAGCTTTTGAAGATCTTCAAAGTGGGACAATCCACAACTCTGGGCAACCTGTGCCAGTGGACTGTCACCTGCACGGTAAGGAAGTGTTTCCTGATGTTTAGATGTTTAGACAGAGTCTTTCATGTTCCAACTTGTGCCCACTGCCTCTTGTCCTGGCACTGAGCACCACTGAAAGAGCCTGGCTCCATCTTCTTTGCACTTTCCTTCAGGTATTTATGGACATCGATGAGATACCCTCTGAACCTCTTCTTCTCTATTCCCCTCTGTGCATGTTCCATTGCCCTTCCAGTACTTGTGCTTGTACAGTTATCCCTTGTGCCCTCCTCTGTTCTTACTATGTTCACCTCTGGACCATCGGTGCATTTTTCCACTCCTCTCCCATCCAACCTTCCTCTGTTCCCTGCCACACCCCTCAGTTCATGCACCTTTCACCATTTTACAGGTGTGGGAAGATGGGTGTTAGGCCTCACAGCCATTCCAGGCAACCCAGTGTCTTGCTGTCCAAAAACCTGTTCAGGGACGGAGAGAAACCAGGACTCCATAAGAGTGTGATTTGCTTTAACCCCAAAGCCCAGCTGCCTTCCCAGGGCACTCACGTATCCAACTCTCTCCACTCTTTGAGTCTCTTTGTTCCCCTGATCCCACACAACCAGAACTCAAACCTGCAGGGCCCCCCACCTCTGCTCTAACCCCTACACCCTGCTGCCCTTCCCAGGCTTCAGAAACACAGGTGTCCAGGATCTGCCCACTCTTTGAGCAGAGGAGAGGAGGGAGGCTGAATCCAAGGCTGTGGTTGTTTCACTGTGATCCATCCCACACAGCTTTGTTACTCTGGGCTCTGGGACAAGTTTGGTGAATGTGCTTTCAGCCTCACCATTCATATTATTTTCTTCTTCAGTCTCCTGCATTGTTGGCTTTTTATTTTTCTTTTTTCTCACCACTTCATTCCTTTACATTCCACTGCGTCCATACTCTGTTTCCCTCTCTTTCTGTTTCCACTCCCCTCTAGGCCATTTGCCATCTGTTACCATCCATTCACCACAATTCATTCCCCTAAAGTTGCCTGTTCTCACTCTGTTCCTAGGTAGAAGGCTCTGAGCAGGACACAGGCCTCCAGCAGGCTCCCAAGTATGTAAAATTTGCAGTACTCAGTGCTGCTAGTAAAGCTCCAGAGCAGCTCCACACATTTACATATATATAGTTATCTCATTTGCCTCCAGGGTTTGAGTAAGGCTCTCCAAATGGGCAAGATAAAACACTGCTGAAGGTGCTTATCAAATGCTGCTTAGAAAAGCAAAAGGAAGGTGTTTAATAAATGGCAACACCCATTAGTTTTCCAGGCTTGTGAGATTTCATTCTAATGTTCAGCAAGAATGATGATGGGCACAGTCATGGTTGCTCTGTCACTGAAAAGGGAATATCAAACACAATCCAGGCACATAGAAATATAACAGGAAAGGAGGGAGGAGAAGAACAGAAGCAAACCTTCTATTTAATAAGAAAAGGCACTTAACACATCAAAGAGCTGGTATATGAACACGTACCAGAAAACTGGGACATCTTTGCCTAGGTTTAACAAAGCTCCTAAAATATCTGCAGCTGCTGCCAAAGAGAAAAAAAAAACACAACTTTTCTTCCACAGTTCACTTAGAGACTCATTTCCTGAATGTAGGCTCCAGTTGTCAGTACCTGCTTTGTTGTTTTTGTCTTCTCAGTAAGACAGTGGGATTTTTTTCTCTTCTTTCTTTTGTCTTTCTAACGGCTGCACTCCCAACAGTCAGATTATTTAAGCATTAATTTCCACTTTTGCTGAACTTCCTATTTCTTGCTACTGCGCCCCTTCCTTAAATCCCTTCCTGCTGTCAGGAAGCTTATTCCAACATCTTTCCCTATCCTGCCACCTCTCTCCCACCTCATCAACAAAATACTTGCATTATGACAGACACCCACTCCTTCCTCTCTTTCAGTCACACCAAAATATTTATACTTGAATTTCCTTTTTTTTTTTGTTTTTTTTTTGTTTGTTTTTTGATGTCAGGACACCAATGCTCATAGTCCCAAGGGAAAAATGTATCATGCTCTCTGTTTCAGGTGAAGCTTAAATTACTGCTTGAGATGAGTCGTGTATGGGAAGCGCTTCCCACACTCAGCACACATAAAGGGTTTTTCTCCCTAGACCTTCTGGTGCATGTTGGCATGAGAGCTCTGGTTGAAGCACTACTCACATTCAGAACATAGACAAGGTATCCCACTATGTGGATTCTCTGGTGTTCAAATAAATCAGAGCACCTCCTGAAACCTTTGTTACTTTCAGGATGTTGGTGACATTTTTTCTGTCTGCTGCTTCCAATTCGACCTCCAACTGCAGATTTCCTTACAGCCACTGTTGCCATAGAGATCATTGCCTGTTGCATCTTCCGTGTGGGGAAGGATGCCATGGAAACTCACTTTGACCCTTTCTAGATGAATGCCCTTACCCTGTCTCTTCCCAAGCAAGTCTCTCCAGTGCATTTCTGACACACGCTGTCTCTGATAGGTTTCTGCCATGCTACAGCACTGGAAAACGTTCTCTTTAAGAATGGAATGGAGGAACAGAACAGAACAGAATGGAACAGCGTAGAATAGAACAGCATAGCATGAATAGAACAGAACAGAACAGAACAGAACAGAACAGAACAGAATAGTTGGAAGTGACCTACAAAGATCTTAGTGTCCTACTGTCTGACCAGTTCAGGGCTAACAAAAGGTAAAGCATTAAGGGCATTATCCAAATATTTCTTGTACACTGACAGGTATGGGGCATAAACCACCTTTCTAGGAAGCCCGTTGCAGTGTTTAACCACCTTCACATTAAAGACATAAAGCTCTCCTGAACATTGCTCAGATACTGCCCTCTCCTATTCTTACTTCATTCCTGCTACCTATCTGACCAGCACAGGAGGAAGGGAAAAATCAGATATCAGAATGTTTTTATTTTTACTTTTCCCCCACAGACAGGTAGTAGGAAGAGCAGGCAGGCAGTTCAGGTGTGTTTGGATTGCCTTAGGCCCCTACATTTGACCTGGTGGTCCTTCTGTCTGTAACAGCCTCTAGAGCTACATCTTATCAAGTGCCTGTGCTCAGGACTACCTGAAATAGTTTCCTGCCATTCTCTTTCAAGGCCTTCTACAGCACAGCACTTGCTATTCGCAATGCAAAACCTGTGCGGCTGGAGTCTTCTCCACCATTATTTCTCCCCGTTAGTATTCTCTCCATTATTTTTCCTGCAGGGACTTTGGCTTACTGGCACATGTTGTTTGGATTTCTTGTATAGCCAGGAGCACTGCAACCCCACAAAGCTTTACTCCTGGAGGACATCAACCTAAGGACTGTACAAAGACTAAGGTCTGTTCAAGCATATCTAATTGTCAGGCTTATCACAAATAGCCTGTACCCATACTCCGACACTTTTACATCCATAGAAGTATAAACCACCTGTAAACACAGCCTTAGGAAATAAATGC